GGGCGCGAGTCGGTGCGTGGGTCTGGACCCAGTCATGGCCCGGGACGGCTCGGGTGGTTCGGTTGGCTCGTTCGGGTCGGTCGGCTCAGACGGGTCGGTCGACTCGGGCGGCTCGGTTTGCTCTAATTTCTCGCACGCTTATCCGATTTACTTGAAACTTTGACCCACGCTCCTCAAATCTTTTTCTCCTCGTCTTGGAATGCTCAAATCGATAATGTCGCGCAATTAAGATATGTGCTCGGAAATGGTTCGCGTGGCTTGGACATAGTTCGGACGGCTCAGAAATGTCTCCGAAATGACTCCTCTTCCCGAACTCGAACATTGTGGACTTAATCAACACCAAAAAGACAAAGAAAGTACGCTGAACCACAAAAACACAAAACGAGAGCAAGAATACACGAAACACGATAAAATGGACCGGTCGACACAAAAACGAACCTAAAAACACTAAACTAAAGCACATAAAACACATGAAAATAAGCACAAAAATACAATAAACAACTATATAAAATTAACAAAATTCACTCAAATGCAAAGTATATTTTCTTGCTGTCACATCAGCAGGACTCAATCTAATTGCATTTGCATTGGAGTATATATTTTTCTACACTGAGTCTATTTCCTACGTGGCAAGTATATTTTTTTGAAAAAACTCAAAGCATTGTGGATGCTCTACAATGCATTTGGTCTAGTCTTGTCTATGTGGCATATAGATAAACCCAAGTCTTGGATGTCGTGGATAAAACTTTATAAAATTAACAAAATCTACTCTAATGTAAAGAGACTAGGTCTTTACTTGGGTCGAAAATAGACCTAAGGATAGACCGGGTCTCTTTTTTTAGCTGTCACATCAGCAGGACCCAGTCTACTTTTGTTTGCATTGGAGAATATATTTTTCTAGGCTAGGTCTATTTCTTAGGTGGCATACAATTTTCTGTGATTGAACTCAATGCATTGTGGATGCTCTAAAATAGACTTAAGGGGAGATCGGATCTCTTTTTCTTGTTGTCACATCAACAAAACTCAATCTGCTTGCACTTGATTGGAGAATATATTTTTTTTCAGACTGGGTCTATTTCTTAGATGACATACAAATTTTTATTATTGAACCCAATGCATTGTAGACGTTCTACATCACAAATTACTAAAAGGTGATCAATGTTTACGGTGTGTATCAATGAAGTTAATTAATCAAAAATTCTACGGAGTCATCGGATGGTTTTCTTATAGAGTCATCCACCACTTAATGTATTGACACCTGTCCAAAGTGTATTTATTGCAGGACACGTGTCAATAACACTATTGGTGAATAAGTGTGGATGGCTCAATAAGCCGAGCCATCCAATGACTCCATAGCAAAACTGATTAATTAATAACTTCCCACTAAACTTGCCTTCACCATTGAACATGCTTTAAATTATGTCACAAATATATTAACATTGAAGGCACAATTTCTTAATTTTTCTTTCTCCATACTTTTACATCTCAAAATAGGCAATGTCTCACTAGAGATGTTCTTATCCCTTATGAAAAACAATTAATTGACGATCTTTTTCCTTGCTCAAACAACACTCATTANGAAAAAAAAAAATAAATAAAAAAAATTCACAATCACTCTTTTTCCTTGCACAAACAAATACTGATCATTACATTACAAAGCACACAAATTAAGGCAAAACAGCCCTTATTTGCCACGAACCAAATTAAACCAAATCACACACCTTAGAAAAGAACACGAATTCAAACACCAAACCCAAACTTACCTAAAAAACAAAACATAAAACCCTAACAAAAGAAAGCAATCATCATCATCATGTCACCACACAACATACACACAACCACTTCAATAATCCAACACACAACACACTACTAATTAATCACACAATAAAATCACCATCTTAATTAACTATCCGCATTTGAACCCGGTTGGGATAGTCTTGCTACAAGCGCTCACTAGTGCACTTAGCGCAACCGGCACATTCAAGTTAATCCCGAGCACATTAGCCTTGATTGCCGTGCAAAGGCAGGCCGCCACCTCCAAGTCCGCCAGCCCTTCCAGCAAGGCACAGCACTTGTCTCCCGAGGGCGGGCTCCCGATCTTCAAGCTAACCAAACCCAAAAGGTCCGCGCAAATGCCGAGCTTCAACGTGTCCCGAGGGCAAAAGGGGTAAGCGGGCAGGCCTTTTGTGGGTGTGGGCTTCGGCCCACACGTCCCGCACGCGTTTGCCAAGGCGGCAAAGAAGAGAAGGGAGAAGATGAAGAGTTTGCCGCCGGCCATTGCTAAGTTAGAGGATAATATTGGGCTTTGTGAAATGGGTTTTGTGTTTGTGCCCTTCTTTATAAAGAGAGAATGTGAGGTTGGTGTTTGAGTGGGAGAGAGGAGAGTGCCAAGTTGGAATTTTGTAGGCTTGTGGGGGATTTTTTATTTTTTTATTTTTTGGGAGTTTTCTATGGCTATGTTTGGTAAAACTAGCTGATAGCTGATAAGCTAGCTTATAGCTTATCAATAATTTTCGAGCTTATAGCTTATGACTTATAGCGGAAAAACTAGCTTATATATAAAATGTTTGGTAAAA